TGCCTTCGTTATATTATCGCTCCTCCCTCGTCGCGTCTCGTCGCGTCCGTCAACTGTCTGTCGATCATGGCCTACGGGACGGATACCCGCTGACCACCTTTCAAACCACTGACGTTACGGTACCGCTGCTGCCTCCCAACGACTCTTTTCTCATGGGCAACACCCAGGTACCTCTGAAGAAGGCTGACGCATCTGAGAGAGGTAAATATTGTTTCTGCGTGTGCTGTTGTTTTGATGGTCTGCTCAGTGCTCGTTCCTCTTGAAATCGATCATCATCGCGCTACGACCAACTGCAACTGTCCGTCCTCACTCACTCGTTCACAGTTCAGAAAAACGCAGCCCAACCTGCCTGCTTTTGGGCTGAGTTGCTGGGCAGCGTGGCAAACGTTGCTACCGTCAACACCAAAGGCGATGATGACCGTCCTTGTTGCGTTGCCTCCCAGTAAAAGGCGACCTGCGCTTCACTTCTTCGAGCCTCATTCAATCGGCCAGTGACTGCGCTTCGTGGTCCAGTAGTCTCTTCATGATCCATTTACTGCCAAGCGTCAGGTTTCTTCTTCTTCGTCTTCTCCTTCCGTATTTATCAGCTAGGCGAAACTACTGCGTTTAATCTGTATATCACGCATATTTACTCAGCGCTGACATTTTCCCGACTTCCGTTCTGGTAAGCGTAAACCGTTTTTTGCCAAATCGTTCATGGCTAGTTTTGTGCATTGCACATCCGTGCGAATCGTCCGATCCAATCTGGCGGTGCGCCTTATTTAATCCTCCCAGACGCAGCGAAATATTAGTCGACGATTATCAGACCACAAGCAACAACTCGAGCCTCATCTTTCAACAGGTTTTCATTCTCCTGTCACTTGTTTGAATTTAATTTTATTCTTGGTAGGTCATCGTTGTTTCGCGCGAATTTCTGTGTAAACAACTGCCATGTGAATGTTGATGGGAGCCGGGTCTGAAATCAAAACATGACGACACTCACCAAAAGAGAACGTCTTTTACTTGACAGCTCGGCAGAAGCGAAAAGTAGCAACCAGCTGTTCTTTCGAATGAGGCTTGGAGGACTTGCCTCTTCGGCTCCGCTTCCTGCTTCCGGCTTCTTCACGACATTTCCTTGTTTTCGCCGAGAAGATTTTTGTAAGCGTTCATATCTAAAAGTGTTTATCGGCTGTCCGTTGATCTCGAAGCAATGGCCCGTTTTTACGTTATTGCGTATGTTTGCAATCCACTCAGCCGTCATGTTTGATGAGCGGCATTAAGTGTTTCTCGTACAGCAATTGTCATTGTCATGGTAATCTAAAAATAGACTGCACTTGAACGGCGTGATTGATTATGTCTAGCTTGGTTGAAAAAGAGTGTCACGTGTATTCTCAGTTATGCTCATTCTGCGAAGGTAAACTTCGCCACGAGTACACTTACCTCTATGTTTAAAAGAAATTCGAACCCCCGCCTTTTCTCTTCCTGTTTCACAGCGTCGTTGCCACCAAACAACCTCATACTTTCCTATTTTCCTTTAGCTCCGGATCAGTAGTGGACTTATTGTTTTGTCATTATCATCATTTGAGGTAATCAGAGTTATCCAGATTTATAACGTCTGATATTAGGCAAAGGTGGACCTCCTCGTCGCAGCCACCCTTGCCTCATCGAGAAGTTTCCGGTGTTTCCGCGATTTGTGTTGTTCTTGAACGCGAGTGTTAGACTCCCAAGAAAAGGACTTCAAAATATATCCGTTCCTTTTATGAAAACAAGTTAAGCGCCGTTTTCATTACTCTTTGCACTCTTCTTATCAGATCTCTCCGCATATCTTGTTCCTGAGGACTGTTGTTGCAACCAGCTCTTCATCCCTTAATTTCACATTAATTTTAAACTCATAATTCCAAAACATAGTGGCTTTGTTGTTGTGATGAAATTTTTATGCTATTTCTATACCTGATGAAATTTTATTGACTCGAAGTCGTGCGTAAATGGTGAAATTACGTTACATGGGAAAATCTAGTAATGAACCAATACCCATTTCATTTAC